AGCACTAGGTCCAACAAGGCACCCCCCCTGGTGGGGCTGTGCAGTGAGATAACCCACTCGTGTTTTCTGTCTTGAAATAAATGCACATTTTTCTGGCAGCAAAGGCAGCATTGCTTTTACTCATTTTAATTCATGCCATTGTTTTAGTGCATGGAAGATAAAAGTGCCCTATTTCTATTTAGATTTAAATTGGGCACTTAAAGTGTCTATGCATAGGCATGCCAAAAACAGCTAGGGCATGAATTACAGTCAACTTGGCTATTTCTCTTCCAGTCCACATGAAGGTGAGCCCTTCACGCAGCTAACAAATTTACATGGAGGAACTTGCTTGAACCTGTTTGAATGCTGGGAACATAGCCACGACCAGTGATCTTCTAGCTGGAAGTGAGCCAAGGTTCAATTCCTTGCTTTAACAAAATATAGTTTCTCCAGATGCACAACTATTTTCTTGTTTATTAGGTGGGAGCTTTCCGGGGTCTGCTCCCCTCTGCTACCAGCTGCAGGAAGCTTTTAGAACTAGCCCACAGGTCTGTGCTCTTCCCCCTACTGGGAGGCAGCTGGGTACATGAACACAAGAGTCACTCAATACCTTAGGGTGTCCAAGCATCCTATTCATACCCACCCGGAGTGTCCTGTACAACACAGCTTTATTAAATGCCAGCGGACCTGCCTCTAACAATCTGCACCTGGTTTTAAAACCAGAAGAGTTGCTCTGTCACACTGTGGTCCTTTTCATTTCGATTCTCTCTCCATTGGCTTCTACTCACAACTGGCTCCTGGGAGGGTATTAGTCATTAGGAACATTCCTAAATTGCTTTATCCAATCAATAGGGATACCGTGAGCGGGGATTGGTTCCTGAGTTCACTTGTTCCAGCGCCAGAAAAATTCAGCCCTTCTGCTGCAGCCCCCAATACTGCCTTCATGATGCACCTAATTAGTTTGTGTGCAATTTCTTGCCAATTATAGCTGGAGACAAGGGCTAGATTATTGGATCTGGAAAGTCCTATTTGCCCACAGGATGGGCACAGGAGAGCAGCCATCTGCCCACTCAAACCACTCAACATTTCTAATTCCTATCATGGCAGGGCCACCCTCAGAGGCAAGTGTATTCGGATAAAGTTTTCACGTCCCATGAGCTATCTTTGCAAAGACTGCCCAGAAATGCTTCGGGGATTTTGGAGAAAACCTTTTCTACTGGCAGATGGACAGAAAGAGCTGACTAGCAGAATTAGGGCTCAGTGGGCCCCCGGACTGGAGATTTGGTCTACTTCTGGCTACTGCAAAGAGATTGATTCCCTTTTCTTTAGACTGAATTCTCCCCTATTAAAATATATTAGGAATTACTGAACAGGCAGGCCAGAGATAAGTCTCTCACCCACCCCATACCTACCACCATTCTTTTATGAAGTGCAGTAATGGTAACAGATTTCCAGTCTGTCAAATGACAAGCAGCTTTTGGAGCATAGTGGCTAAGAAAAACAGTCAACAAGGAAGAAGGGAAGTGAGGAATGTGCTCAGCAGGCAAAACAACACCTTTATGCAATTGTGCAGTTCGCTCTCTCCGAGCCTGACTAGCTGCAGTACAGGCTAATGTACCAGCGACAGCACATACTGCTTCAGCAAGTGCTCTTCCTCCGGCTAGCACTCAATGCAATATAGCTCTTGTTCAAAAAAGAACAAAATGAAGCCTCATACCCTAGAAACTTCTAAACAGCGTGCCAGAATATGCTGCCTATGAAAAGTGGCAGCCCAGGCACCTGCTCCTTCTCACAGTGTCAGGTGGGAGCCTGCAAAAAATCATTTCCTGGGACATGGTCCCTGATAGACAGGGAAACCCAAAACAAAATGTCTTAGTTTATAGGCCCTATCCTGCTGTCTCCCATAGACCCACTACACAGCAGAGCTGCCACTTAACCAAGCAGATAAAAACAACCAGCTGGCCCAATGCAGAGAGGTTCTCACCAACCTCCCACAGCCCTGGTTTGGTTCTCACCCTACCTCCTCACTCAAAGCCTCCAACTAAGATTATCTCCCTCACTCTCACCTGCCAAGGGCTTTAGATATATACTCTGACATCCCAAAGCACAAGGCCAGGCTCCACATGCTTCCCCTCTTCTTTCACTGAGTTTACTCTGCTTGCTTATGCCTGTGAGGGAGACCGTATATACAGCCTTCTGCACAGATAGACTGGAGCCACAAAGGAAGCTGCAGTACCTCTGAGATCACATATGTATTATGAATGCAGTTGTACAGTAGCTGTCTTCACATTAACTGCCAAAAAGGGGGGCACAGAGCTGGCTACATGCAATGCATCTTGATGTAACAGCACAAAAAGAAAAAGCAAGCTTATCATTCAGCCAGCATCTTCCTTTGTCTGCAGCTCCACAGGTTGCAGGATAAATAAATGCCCAACTATATTGTCTGGAAAGCAATGCCACGTGGGGAAAAAGAAAAGGTACTTTCATGGCATATAAAAAGGTACTTTCATGGCAAGACAAGCCATGTCATCAGCAATCGCATTGGTTCAGACGAGACAAATTCAACGGATGAACTGGTTACTGAGCAAGCTATGACACCTCTCAGCCAATACAATAGCATCAGTGCACTGAACCTGCTCTGAGTCTCAGTGCAATGGAAGACAGGTTCCAAGACACTCAAGTGAAGCACTGTATAACCAGCACAATGTCATCAATTAGCCATGTTTAGCATGTAACGAGTCCACCACAAAACACATGCAGATTCGGTAGGGAAACTGAACATCATTAAGATTCCCCACAGAACCATTCTTTTTGATACTTGCTAGAAGTTACCTGCTGCAACGTTTAATACAGCTCAGAACAAAGCACTAATTTACAGGCAAGTCTTTTGCTCTACTGGTACAAAACACATCTTTCAGTTAGAATCTTTCCACAAAGCAAGAGGCTGGGAAGGCGCACAACATTAACAAGTCAAAGGTTCTGTTTTTTTTCTTGCTCCCTGGGAGATACAAGTATGAGGGCAAAGGAAATGTCATCAGCTTTGTAACTTCTGCTCTAACCAGCAATGCTCCTTCGTGCCACTCCAAGACTGCTACTAACAATAGTTAAGTATCATCCTCTGCCTTGGTTTTCCCATTTATAACTAACGCTGTTAGTTGGTCTGAACTTTGTCTCTCTATGACATCCCACAAGCAAAATACTGAAGCATCCTCTTCCTCTGTAGCAAGGACGTCTTGTAGGCTTATTAGTATCCAGGTTTAAAGTTCAGAGAAAAGTGTATGATTCAATTAAAAGCTACTTAAAACCTCATGCTGAAGCAGTAAGTGGTCTTTAAAAGAAGAAAATTAAAATGTGTAACAGTAATTGGTGCCATTGATATAAGAAACACTGATAGAGTAAACTGAAATAGAAAGCAATCAAAAAAAATACCTTTGAGTCTCTCTGATGGATTATGCCCAGCCTTGCCTACATTTCTTCAGTCTCACAGGGTAATTGTTTTTGACCCTTTGTAGACCGCAAAAAAAGAGCTGAGCTGACAACCAGTTCATTAAGGTCACTTTCAGATTTTTTTTATTAGAACTCCAATTTAATGAAGTAGATTTTTTTTGTAATTTGACATGCGACAGAAAGTGGTACCATTTAGTATCCATTATATGATCCATTTAAAGAAAGACTGACGTAATTGTCCATTTCAGCAGTGATGTGATGGAGAGTTTTGAATTCTGATTTGGTAGCTTTATTCTTTCATCTCAAAGATGCAAGTGGCAGTCATATTGCAAAATCTTGGAATATACTCTAGGCAAGTAGTTAGCCACGTCAGTCTAAAAATCAGGCAGAAGGTAGGACACGGGGTAGATAAACTCTAGACCCATGTGTTTGCCTAATTTGATCTAACCTTAATGTAGAGCTGTGCATGTTTTATGTTGTCAAGGCTGAGTTTAGGGACTCTGTACTTTTTTTTAAAGGATTGACAGATTAAGAGTACTGAAGCATTCTCACTTCTGCACCCAAGAAAAATGGCAATCCTTTTCTATACATCATCATCATCTAGTACCTATACTGGTTCCCAATTAGCCCTATGTAATTCCACACTGATGCATTATATTGCTGTGCATCAAAAACCGAAGCCATATAATGACATCTGAACTACAGGTCATACAGATGTAAAGCATACGTTTAAGGACTGCACAACATCACCCCTAAATTTGTAAGAGGATTTGGGATCTCTGAGATAAGAAATACTGCATAGAATGAAAGACACCCAAGTGACTCCTGCTCTTTCTCTACAGTACTATCCAGCTTCTGGTTACAGAGCTTATCATCATTTTGATGAGGGTCCTTTTCTTTACTGTGTGGTACAGTTTGTAATGTACAGCTTCTAGTCTCTGGGTCAGACAGTCATGCCCACCTTTTATGGAAAGAAATGAATGTAATGGCTCCCAGTAACTTTGATAGACTCTGGATGTGATACTACTGCATGGTGTTTCGACAGGAGGATTCCTAGATATGAATAATTTAGAATATTACAGTCTTTCCTTTGGAATTGTGCCAATGGTTAGTGTTACAACTTTTCCAGAGGAGCAAGTTACATGCAGTTCACTGTTACACTGCCAGAAGCAAAGCTACAAGTACATTACTGTGAAAACAGTAATTAGGGTGTGAAAACAGAGCACACCAACCACTCTAGGGTAACTGCTCATGCGCACACTCTCTCTCTGCAATACATTTGAGGTAGCTTAGCCTTCAGTGAAAGTGGAACAACCTATCTTGCATAGTGTTACTCCTTGGTGCCCTTACAAACTAACTGAATCAGAACTTTACAGCAAGGTATTCATGCACCCCTACCCATAGTGATGCCAGGGATACTTCTCTTGTACTTGTGTAAGATCTAGCCTGCTTTGCATATTAAAGCAAAGTAACAACTGCAAAGTTACTGTTCAAGAAAGAAGCAGCCAGATTCTTCTGTGAAATGGAAGTCCTATTAAAAAAAAAGTATTATTAAAATGTTACTACCTCAAAATTGCCTTATTACAAAAAGAAAAAACAGTCCCTCATTGATGCAGACACATTGAGACACATGATTTTCACAGCACTCTTCCAAAGAGAGTTATAGATTAGGGAAGTCAAGTGTAATATTCACTGTTACTCTCCTTAGCTTGTGGTGTCACTGCTGGAACCACCAATAGTCTAGTAAACTTCACTGTTTTCCTAACACTTCAGCAGTGTGACACTGTGCATGAATTTGATTTGTAAATGTTAGAAGCTGTGTGCACTGCATGTTTAGGAGAGAAACTTCCTGGTAGTTGACAGAATAGTAAAGCAAGATTCAACAAAGCAAATCTCCAGGGAAATGTAAGTTATTCATTTTGTATCTCTTACTCTATCCATTTCAGCACCAGCACTGGCATATGGGCTGTGAAATGGCTCCTGCTTCTGCAGAAGACTTGACAGGCACTGACACCGTGCAGCACTGGGCAGGTACCAAAGCTAGATCTGAACAAGGCAAGTACCAAAAGCAGTATAGCTTGGTCAACGATACCACAGTGCACTTGGGCATCTACATCTTGCTTCTTGCAATATGGCTATGCTCTACTGCTGCCAGCATCCAGACTAACTAATTCAGAGCTAGCTCTGGTTTCTCTGCATGGCACTACTTTCTGATAGTTATACCCTTGGTGTGAATGGATGAGTTATACCCTTGGTGTGAATGGAATTCCACCTGTGAAACTCTTCGAGGAAACAAAATATGTACCATAAGAAACAGGCACTGAGGAGCTTCTGACTACTAGTACACGTGACTGAGAAGAGTATCAAGTTATCAAGCAAAAAAGTTATACACATGCAGGAACGATGGACTTACCAATAGTATGTCAGTCACAACGGCCCAGTTTAAGGATAAAAAAAATTCTCCAAGTGCAATTAAAACCTGCAACGAGAGCAAAAAAAGTATAAGTGGCTAGGCACGTTCAAAGGAGGTTGACTCATTCTCAGAGTAGTCATGCATGTAAATCTCTTTGCAAACCTTCCTGATGCAAGATTACCAGGTATCATTTTTAGTTTAAAGATAAGGAAACGAGAGCATAGAAGTTAAGTGGTTTGGCTCACTGTCATATCTACACAGTGGCACAGCCAGAACAAGGAATCACAAGTCTTCATTACCAAACCCTAACCCACAGCAGAAAAAAAGTGACTCTTGCTCACCGCCTGCAGAACCCAGCCAAGAGCAAAGCAAGAGCCTAGAAGACAGAAGCACCTCCCAGTCAGATGCGATTTTAAAAATGTGACCTCAAAGATGAACCTTTGACCTGACCTCTAAATGAAGTGAACAGAATGGCTCTTAACAGACAGGGGTCAAGTATTCCAGTAAGAAGGCTCTTCCCAGGAGGCTGACTCCAATAAGCAAGTGGCTCCTAGAGACAACCAACCTAGACTGCTTGGCTCACATCACTCTTAGGGTGCTGAGGGAATTGCTCAATTCATCACAGATGGAAGCCCAGCCATGTGAGAAGAGGGGTTGGACTCCTATAGTTCTCAGAGCTGTGGTCTTGGAAAGCATTAACCCTCTACCTGCCAATCCACTGAAGCGTGTTTAATAATGCAAATAAAAACCACGCAACATGCAATTTTTACTCTTGTGGAGTACCAGAAACGACATTGGTTACCCTTCAAAGCTGCAAATTCTTGAAGACAGCATTTGACTCTAGAGGCAGTGACTGAAGTCTTAAGTATAGGAGGCGAATTACAATTTACTTACAGGAATAGGTTCCAACGGTTAGCACCGTGGACTCCAGGATTCACACAAATTCACAGAAGTTTAGGGCTCGAAGGGACCTCATGAGATCACTGGGTCCAGCTGCCCTGCTCTGGGCAGGGAAGACTGCTGGGATCAAAAAATCCCAGGAAGGTGTGCGTCTAGCCTGCTTTTAAAGATCTCCAGAGTTGAAGTCACTTTCTGATGCAAGTCATTTTAAGTTTACTCAAGTCACAAAGGGAACCCATCAAGGGTTTGCCAAGAAGCAGGGATCTAACGCTAATCTCTGCTTCTCCTTTACAACCAACTCCTTTTTCTTCTGTGTTGTCTGTTTGTCCCATAAACTGGACTGATACCTCTTTCCCACTTTCTACCTCTACAGCCTGGACCCCAGTAGGGTTTCTGTCTCAACGACTTCTACACAGAAGTGATTTCAACAAGCCAGAGGTGAGGTTAGCTCACCTACATATGACCAGAACAGCTTGTATTAAAGCAGGTTTCACAAGACAAGCCAACAGAACGGCATCCATTGGAAACCAGCCCATGAAGAAAAGCCTCAAACTGGAAGAACTGCAGGGGGAACGCTTCAAGTTGTTGGGCTTGCATGAGAGAGGTATTATTTGATTCTTTTTTCAATCTTCCCACCACCAAAGGTAATTTTCATCCTTGATCCTCAATTCCTCATGGCACTAAGGGGCCTAGAACACATTTCTAGTCAGAGCTCATTTTGCATATTAACAGGGATCATTAGAAAAGCCAGTTTCAAGACAATGGAACCTGCTTTTTGCATTACTCTGTTGAAGCTTACACCTTGTTACTTGCAGGAACAAATGTTTCAGCTTCCTGTAAATTCACCACACTTGCCTACCACTCTCCCAAAAGGTACAGTTGAATCCATTTGTGTATGAGTAAAAACACCAAGATAAAACCAGCATTACTGGTAAAGCCTGGAGCTGCAAGGATTGGGACAAGGTGCATTTGTAACTCAGATAAGAGACGACAAAGGTCAGGCCCATACAGGTGCTTTGAACATCAGTCAAAGAGATGCTTTTTCTTCTATTAAACATATAGCCTTAGGCTTGCTTTTCCTAGTCTAATATCTGGTGGCTTAGCAGTCCACATAAAAAATGCTGCCATTGTCCATTATCCAAAGGGTCAGTTTTTAGACTTCAGATGCTAGGTCTTGTGTCACTGAAGGTTTATTGTTCAAAGTGCATTGGGTACTTTGCATAACCTAGGGAGCCAGGGAAAGTTTGCAATCTAGCCAGGCATACAGATCTGAAAGGGGGCAGAAGCAGTTAGACGATCTTTTTTCTTCACTCAGTTCAAATTACTTCCACCTCATCAGCCTCTGAAGCCCAGCCGTTGTCATATAATTGTTGTTGGGGATGGGCTCTAATCACAACATTTAGATCTAATTTTGACTCTTTCCATGAGTGTCAGAGCCTTAAGGGTGGCCCATTTGGTATGAGGGCCAGTTGCATTATTGGATCTGGGTTTGAATCCTAAACCATCCTTTTTCTGCTGAAAACCAGGAGCATGTGACAGCTTTATCTAGGACACAGGCTTATGTCATTTCAAGATTCTTCATGAAGCAGCTTTCTACTTTGCCTCAAGACTTCTAATGATAAACCCAAAATAGATGAATGAAACTTAGATCAACAGAACTGGTAGAGATTTGCAAGACAGTGGCTAATATTATCCACTTAATCCCTGGTTCAGTAAGTGTCAGTGCCTTGGGTTTATGTGCCTAGTCCAACCATCACGGAAGTCAAGGAGAGGCCACTTGAGCCAAGTGCCCTGCCTTTGCACATGTTGGAATTTTGCAATTTCAGTTTTTGACCACGTGGGGCCTTTCATCCCATGAACTGCACAGAAATGCTTACACGTGCCAACCTTAGCTGGCGAGCAAGTGATACATGCTTGCATTACAGCACTTTGGGCCAAAAAAATGAAACACATCTGTTACCATGAGTAGCAATAGCACAGAGCTCATCCTACTGCCAAGGCACCTGGCAATAACCACAAAACACCATGGACCTGTGCAAGCCACTGAGGACACTAGCCCTTTACTGCTTCATCCCAAAGGTACCACAGTCCAATTATCCCATGGGCAGGCTTAACTAATTGTGTATCCGACACATACTTTGTTTTCTCTTTTCACTGGTACCACAAAGACTCAAATACAGCACTGTTCACTAAAGAACTCGATACCTCAGAAGCACTACAATTTGATGGAGCAGACAAGTACTGAAAGGGAGGGAGTATCCAGGACTGCCAGTCTGAACTTCAGTTGTGTAAATCTCATGAAAACTGCAGCAGCCTATAAGAAACATCACAAGTAAAAGCAAAGCATGGAGAAGACAAAGATAGTGGTAATTCCTGGGACCCCTGGAAGACAGTGACAGGTAGTTTGAATCCAACTGAAGGGGAAAACAAGTCCCAGACCTTGTCTATACTTACAAATGCTGCTACTACAACCCTGGCATAGCACGTTCCTAGGCACATACTTCTGCCAGCTCCATGCGGTGTGTGCGACAGCAAGGAGCAATTTTACCAACAGCTGAGAGTATGGCCCACAGCAAGTCATTATCCACATTTTACAGGCTGCAAAGGGCATTAACTGGTTAATACCACCTATCCCCCTTACAATAGACTTTGTGATGCTGAGTATAAAGTAACTGAAGATACTAGCCTGAAAGGCAGCAGAGTAGGACAAAGCCTTATAAATGGCACAGGAATGTAAAAGCGGAGCACATTTATCATAGAAAGACAAACCGCACAATAGAAGTCTGTTAAAAATCCAAGTAAATATACACCTTCAGGCCTCCCTCAGCACAAGACCTAGCTACTGAGAAAAGTGTCTAATTCATCTCACGAAGTCAGGGAGAAACTGGGCCCAGAATGTTAAAAATGGTGGAAATGATGTGAACTATGCTGGCTAAGCAAGTTTTCTAGCACATTGCTGCTTAGGCACTAGCCCTTTTGACTCATTAGAATTCAACTCTCGTAGTTTGTATCATGACTGAATTATTTCTCTTATTTCACCTCATATAAGGTGAAATAAAATTCAAGTCTCTTTTGTTCTGTGAATCGTGCTGATTCTGCCTTAAGCCGTCAAAGTTCATTTTAAGGCTCTGCATGGATGATAGCTTTAGGTACAAGTGGAAAAATATTTCCCTAACTAGCTGTGGGTTGCAATATATAAAGCTGCAGATACATAGATATATCCACAAATACACGTAGACAGGATATTTATCTATCTTAAAATTCAAATTGATGTTATGTTTCACTTTATGGTATAATGCAGCGTGTCATACTCTGTGTAAGCTCAGCCATCCAACTGCACTAAATGCTCTATACTTAGTCTCTGCCCAAGACCAAGAGACTAGATCCTGCAAGTAATGTTTGCCCAGAGAAACCACCATGCATTATTTAAGGGCACCCTACTGCTTCAGCTATTCCTCAATGCAGCCTCAGACCTCTCAAGCCATTAGTCTAAATTTATATGGGGAATGGTTCCATTAAATCTACAGGCAATCACATTTGTTTGTGGCAAGTCAGACCTAATCCAATAATTAAGAGGACTTCTATACACCT